TATTAAAAAAACTTGTAACATTAATAGGTATTGATTTAAAATGTGGGCAATACGGGCGGTATGACAGCTAAGGGAAGCGATCGAGTGCGTGGGGATTGTCTATCCATCAAATGCACACATAAACCGGCTGTTCTGCATCGGCTATGGACGAGATTCGCCGAAATTCGTCGTCGTTTACAGTTTCGGCTTGTAAGGATGAGGCAAGCACAACAACATAGACAATATCACACACAATAGACTCATTAGTCACTTCAGAGATGTGTTTTGGATAATACTTCGATGTAGGAAATGTTTCTGCGAAGAGAGAGTATGGATGTAAAAGAAATCATTAGCATCACTATTGCAACAGTAGACCGTACTGGGATCTCAACGATCTTACAATTTCTTCAAATGAGCTTTACTCCTCTTCGGTGTCACATTCTCACTTGCTTTTCTATGCACGAGCTGCGCAATTTGTTGATTTCTTAGAATGTAGCATACCAGGAAGTGCAGAAGGCAGAAGAATTATAATTTCATAAGTACCTCTGAATAATTATTCAAGAGTAGCTCCTCATAAGATTGTGGGGAAAATCAATAGCTTCAATGAGAGATTCGTTCTTCTTGGATAACTAGTTATTAGATAAAAACAGTCACAAAATCTCAGCTGCCATGGTAAAAAGAAGGAAATGGTAGAAGATGTTGAATCACTTAAATTTTTTTCATTTCCATCGCTGACGATGTTTTCACGATTGAAACGACTTCGTACTATATCGCGAATATACCAAAATGGGCTTTAGCTGACAAAGGATTTCGACCGAGTTTTGGTTCCAAGGTATTTATTGTTGGTATGGTAAAAAATAGTGGCAGCTCATCCATATTCACAACCATTTCTTATCTCTTAGGTTCGAAATTTCAGAAAGTATTGTGGCACATAATTGCACATGCCTTTGTACTACGTTCTATGAGATTTGAGGAAGGACCTACAAGAGAAGCTCTGCTATCGAATGATGCACGATCATTTCTTTCGTTTTATTGTCTTATCATCCGTGTACGAATTGATGATCTT